CGGGTACTCTGGCATGAGGATCTTGTTAAAATGCAGGCTGTGATTCCTTGGGTCTCGAGTGGGATCTGTATTTCTAACAATCTTTCAGAAACTGCCGATGATTTAGGTCCACAAACCTCAACTTTGAGAATTGTATATTCTCCCACCTTCCACCTTACACACACACACACACACACACACACACACACACACACACAATTTAGTTCACTTTGAATAAAGAGAAAATAATTACATTTCTCTGGGTAATAGGGTAGTACTAAATTCCTTATGCTTCCATATAATATATTATAATGTTGAACAAATTTTAAAAGTTTCAAAACAAAAATATGGAAAATTAAATAAGTATAAACTAAATCATTTCCAATAGCTCAAGATTATGTCAAATTATAGACAAGTTTTCCTGATTTTTTTCTGTGGAAAAAGTTGTAAAGTTCTTTGGGTTGACCAGAAGCTATAAAACCCAGAAGAGAACACACTGAAAAACTCCTGGACACTGGCTGTAGCAATAATTGTTTGTTATCACACCAAAAGCTCATGCCACAAAAGCAGAAATAAATATTACTGTATCAAATTAAAAAGCTTCTGCACAGCAAAGGAAACAATTTTTAAAATGAAAGAGCAGCATATTGAGAAAAATTCCTTGAGCCCAGGAGTTCGATACCAGCCTGGGAAAAATGGCAAAACCCTGTCTCTACAAAAAATACAAAAATTAGCCAGGTGTGGTGGTACCTGCCTGTGCTCCCAGCTACTCAGGCAGCTGGGAGGATCACTTGAGCTTGGGAGGGAGCCACAATCATGCCACTGCACTCCAGCCTGCAACAGAGCAAGACCCTGTTTTGAAAAAAAAAAAAAAAAAAAAAAAAAAAAAAAAGCTATACAGAGATAGAGAACAAAACAGTAGTTACCAGAGGCACTGGGTTGGAGGAAGGAGAGGAAATGGTCAGAGGATACAAAATGGCAGATATGCACAGGTAATAAAATTGCAATGGATATGGGATTCATGCTAAGTGAATAATAGATTGCAGCTGCTCTTGCCACACACACACACACACACACACACACACACACACACACACACACACTGGGTAATTCTGTGACATAGGGAATATATTAATTTGCTCTCTATAGAAACCATTTTACTACCTACATGTACCACATAATATCATGTGGTATACCTTAAATATACACAGTAAAATGTATTTTAAGAGTCCTTCCAATCCATCAAGTCCTTCAGCATCAAGTCCAATCGCCCTCTTTAGCCTCATTACCCCCAGGGCCATGCACGCCCTTGCCTCTCCAGTCACACTGTACTCCTTGACAGTCTCGTAAAGTGGTATCCCTTAAATCCTTTCTCATTGAGTTCCCTACCTGGGCCTGCAAAAGCCCCACTTCAATCTTTCAAGGACCACACAAATATCATTTTAATCTGAAAAGCCTTCCCTGAAGCTAATGGGCAGAATTAACTTGCCTTATTTTTCTCTCTTGTGTCCCTCAAGATACCCTTTACATATTGTCACTTACTGTAACACTCATTGCAGGGTTCTGGAGGCTACAGTTCTAGCAATGGCCCAGTATGACAGCAATTTCTTGGCCAACCATTGAGATACGGCCATGCCCTCTCTGACAAGTTCAAGATCTCAGCCCTGGCTGAGGGCTCTACAGTTCACGGTATTTATGCTCCTGTATAATCCCTCCACTTGAGTGTGAGCTGGATTGATTGTCTTGCTTCTAATAGAACACAATATGGCAGGCATGGTGGTATGTCACATCTGCGATTACATAGTAAATACAATGACTGCAGCTTCCGTCTTGGGTGCTCTTGCACACTTTTCTCTTTGATCACTCAGTGTGAGAGAAGCCAGCCACTATGTCATGAGGCAGCCCAAAGGAGTGGCCCATGTGGTTAGACACTGAAGCCTCCAGAAAACACCTAGCAAGGCTGGCTAACAACCATGTGAATGAGCTTGGAGCAGCTTCTCCTGCCCCAGATAAGCCTTAAAATAACAGCAACCCTGGCTGAGAACTTGAGTGCAGCTTCTCCAGAGACTATGAGCCAGAACCTGCAGCTGGATTCCTGACTCTGAGACGCTGCATGAGATCCTAAGTGTCTACAAAAATGCTAAGTGTTGGGATAATTATTACACAGCAACAGAGCTAATCACAGGGGCCTTTACTTGAGTGCCCTCTCAGCCCTAGCAGTGGGGCTGCTCCTTCTGTCTGCTATTCCTATACTCTTCAGAGTTCTCTTTCCTTCTCATGAGGCAATCTCTCATTACTCCAGTCTCACAGTTAACAATTCTTTATGTTCAACTTTCCCTATTAAATTCTGTGTGGTATCCATCTCCTGGTTGGACTTGAACATCAGATGAAGCTGCTGCTGGTGGTCAAAAAAACCACACTTTGAGAACCACTGGCATAGACTAATCATGATTCAACTCCTGCAGCTGGACTCAATTCCCCTTAAGTCCATGGGCACAACAAAATCAAGTAAAAAGGAGGAAATGGTTGTTAGATGAATAACTAAGAGTGTCCGCTTCAGAGACCTTCCACAATTGAAAACAACTGCTACTACACTGGTCCACTGCGTTTCATAATATTTGCCCCAATATTGTAAAAAATGTTATAAACACCAAGTTACGGAAATATGGTTCAGGGAAGTAGACTTGAGTGGTTTTAGAACTGGAGGCTAATTTTATTGACTTATCACACCACACATCTAGGCAGCCAACCTAAAATGAAATAGAGTAAATGACTTAAAGAATACTTAGTAATAAACTGTTAGTGGGTTGGTAGATTTTTGTCATTCTTACTTAGTAACAGCACACATCATGGAGAGAAAATTATTCAATGCTTAATTTACAAATTAACAAGTTACCCTAGGGGTAACACAAAGTTCCACAAACTGGGTGGCTTAAAACCACAGAAGTTTATTTTCTCATAGCTCTGAAGGCTACAAAAGTCCAAAATCCACGTCAACAGGGCGACGCTCCCCGCGGGTCAAACCTACAGAGGAGAATCTTTCCTTGCCCCTTCTGGCTTTGGTGTTGGCTGGCAATTCCAATCTCTGCCTCGATCAACACATGGCCATCTTCTCTCTGCCTATGTCTCTGTCTTCTCTTTTTAATTTTTTATTTAAAAAAACAGACAGGGTCTCACTATGTCACCCAGGCTGGTCTTGAACTTCTGCCCTCAAGCAATCCTCCTGCCTCAGCCTCCCAAAGTGCTGGTATTACAGGCATAAGCCATCACACCTGGCTCTCTTTTCTTCATATAAGAACACCAGTCATATTGGATTAAGAGCCCACCATATTCCAGTATAACCTCATCTTAACTAATCACATCTGCCATGACCTTACTTCCAAACGTCACATTCTGAGGTTCCAGTGGGTTAGGACTTCAACCTTCAATACCTTTCTTTTTTGGTGGGGGACACAGTTAAACTCATAACACCCTCATTTTCATGAATTTTCATGTCTATCAAAAACAACATATAATTTTATAGCCTCTAATTGCATTCTTAACATATTTTTTAAATTAAAAGTTTTTTGAGACAGAGTCTCACTCTGTCACCAGGCTGGAGTGCAGTGTGGCACAATCTCAGCTTACTGCAACCTCTGCCTCCTGGGTTCAAGCGAATTCTCCTGCCTCAGCCTCCCAAGTAGCTGGGACTACAGGCGAGCACCACCACACCCAGTTAATTTTTGTATTTTTAGTAGAGATGGGGTTTCACCATGTTGGGCAGGATGGTCTTGATCTCTTGACCTCATGATCCGCCCACCTTGGCCTCCCAAAGTGCTGAGATTACGGGCGTGAGCCACTGTGCCCGGCCAGTTAAGAATTTAATGATCTGTCAATCATAAAAATATTAATAGGGAGGACAGTGGAGTTCATATCATATTAATTGTATCTGATGACTTTCCAATAAAGAAGCAGTCTTTCCACCTTTTAAAACCACTGACTCTCTCTCCCTTCAATGTGCTCTCATTTTCACATTCAAGAACAGTATGATGTCCACTTCTCCCTTTCTTTAGCATATACTCACAACCACTAGCATAGGTCTCCACTGCAACTTATCATTTCATTGCAGAAATATCACAAGCCGTCTTAGTTACCTGTAGTCTAATTTTCTTTTAAACATAAATCAGGTACATAGCTGAGGTCAAAATCACATTTATCCAGATAGAAAGGGTAAAAAGAAAAATATGCAATTACAGAACTTTGAGTTCAATTAGTGTTTATCTACTGTGAGGTTGCAAATGAAACTCACCTGCTTCCCATGTCTTTATCATTATTATTGTATTATTATTATTCTTATATCAAGAGTTCATTTCCCTCATCTTTCACTAAACATTGCAGTAACCTACTTACTCCAAGGATAGTATTGAATGGCAACTGGTAATAAGAATGAACGATGGATAGTTTTTTCAATGCTAGCCAGAGATTTGTCTTTTATTTAAAAAATTAAACACTAAGTCACAAATGAAATACATATTTGTATGTAAAAATAGAAGAAATCCAGAGAAAAAAGTATTGACGTATGAATTCCAAACCGTGAACTTTAAATCATCAAGAGGAAGAGGTTAATATTTATTAAGACCATGCTTAAGGTAACACATCAGGCAGTGTGCTAGGCAATTTATACGCTTCATCTAACTCAGACACATCCCCATGAGTTAGATGGAGTGCAGTGGCGCGATCTCAGCTCCCTCAACCTCCCAGGTTCAAGCGATTCTCCCTCCGGAGTAGCTAGAACAACAGGCATGTGACACCACACTCGGCTAATTTTCGTTTTTGTAAAAAAACGATGGGGTTTCGCCATGTTGGGCACGCTGGTCTCGAACTGCTGGGCTTAAGCAATCAGCGTGCCTAGGCTTCCGAAAGTGCTGGGATTACAGGCGTGAACCACTGCACCTGGCCTGTTTCCAGTTTTAAACCACATTCAAGAAAAGAGAGAGAAGCTGAGAGTCTATATTCAGACCAAATGGCTCTTGCAGAATTACCTTGTTTTAGCCGCCTTGCCCGTTTACAAATATGAAATACACGGGGATCCAGGGAGATGAAGGGGGCCTTGGAACACGTACTTCAGTGGAAAAAGAAAACCTGGTAAAAGTGCAGTTTTACCAAGCATGAAAACAGTTGTGCTGATACTCGATCTTCCTCTAATTCTGCGTTTTGCCTTCCCCGTTACACTTTGTTCAGATAGCCCGTGAAGGGTATGCCACCCCAAAAATCTCTCTCTGGCACAAGGATTATTCTGAGCTAAAAGCACTTGAAAAATCGGAGTGCTCTAAACTGCCCCCTGTTCTTCCTAAAAGCCGGAGGCAGAACTCCTGTGAAAGATGGCCTCCCTACACAGCGGCGAGGAAACCCTGCCGGGCGGTCAGGGCGGAGACTTCCACCCAGACGCGGTTCAGACACACGGGTCCGTCTTCCGCTGGCTCGGTCCCCGTCCCACAGCCGCCGCCCTCGGTCCCGCCTGGCCTAAGAGCATTTGGGGTTTGCCACTTGCGTGTGTCTCTTTCACACAAGCCGACAAGCCGTACGCAGGAGATGGGCACGCTTCTCTCCTGTTAACCGGCTTTCTGTCAGTGCGGCTCGGGCCCAGCTGCGCACCCTCCGGGGGTGAAGTCCGGCCTCCCCTACACCTGCGTCCGAGTCCAGGGCACACAGTCACGAATCTACCGGGACAACGTTTCCGTGACGGCGCGGGCCCGGGGCCCACACGTGGCCCAGGAGGGCCGGCCTCCGGGCCCGGCGTCGGGGGCAGGTCGCCGCTCAGGGGCTGGGGGTGTCCGCGGGCCTCGCAGTCACCTCCCGGGGCCGGGCTGCGGGAACGCGGCTCACGCGGCTGACGCCCACGGCCCCTGAGCGCCGCTCGCCGCTGAGGCCCGGAGCCAGGCCCCGGGCGCGACCCTCCCGCGCCCTCCCGCCCGAGGCCCTCCCGAGCGCGGCGCGCGCCGGTGACGTCACGCCTGGCGGAGGGTGGACGCTACCATCGCCGCGCTCCCCCTCCGGCGCCAGCGCGTCCCGGCCGCCGACTCACCTTCCCGTCCTGATGAAAAGGGAGGCCGGGCTCGTCCGTGGAGGCCGGGGGACGAACGTAGCTTGTCTCTTCGGCCGCTCCGGCGGCGAGCAGCGCCCCGGCGGCGGCCTCGTAGTCCGGGAAAGGGTTGGCGAACGCCCGTTCCTCCATCTCCGCCTCCCCTCCCAGGTGCAGCTTCAGCCTCTTTGACATGGTCTCGCCCATGTCCGCCACGGTACGGCGCGCGGGCGGGGACAAACCTCCCGCCGCCGCCGCCTCCCGGGGCTCGCGCGGAGAGTCCTCTAGGAGCAGCGGGGCCGCGCGCCGGCGGGGGCGGCGGGGCCTCTGCGCGGGGCCTGCCGAGTCGCGGGCGGCTCGCCCATCGGGCGGCCGCGGAGGCGCTGCGCGGGTCTCCGGCCCGCTCCCGGCGGGGAGGCGCGGGCTCGCGGGAGCGCCCCGAGGCTCGGCCCGCCGGCGCCCGCCCGCAGAGCCCGTCCGCGGCGGCGCGCACCGCCCGGGGGACCGCTGCGCCCGGCCCCGCTCCTGGGGACGAGCCCCCTCGGCGGTTTCCAGGGAAAACCGGACGCCGGCGAGGGCCGCGCTCCCCCGGGGAAAACCTGCGGCGAGGAGCCCGCCGCCGCTCGGGGTGCGCGCGTCGTCAGCCCGCGCTTCCCCGGCCCCTGCCGCGCCAGCCCGGAGGAGCAGCGGCGACTCTGTGTGTGACACTAAGGGGAAAAATCTCTTCCAAAGAACAGAATTTCAGAGCAGCCTGAAACACCGCAAGGCTCGTCTCCGGGGATGGGGAGGGACAGTCCCTCCTAGTCATCACTGCTGAGGGGGGTGTCTGGGAGGAGGAGCCACAGCCCTTTTTTTTTTTTTTCTTTTTGTGCTTTATGTTCAGCCCCCTCGTGTTGAACAAATGGACATCTTTGGTACCAGGACATAACATGAAAGCGTGCTTAATTATCCGAATATGTTGTGGACCAGAAAGAGTCCTCCGCTGTTAAGTGGCCGAGCGCATAGTATCTGTGATAGAAGGACACAGCCAGATCTTTGCATTGATATAGTCGTGATGTGATTTACTTCGGTCTTCACTGGTTCTCTTTATTTTCGTTATTTGTTTAGAACCATATACATGTAGTGATGTCTGCTCCTTGAGGAAAATGTCTTATTCCGGTTTTCTTCCGCTCAATAAACATGGATTGGGCGCCACATGGTACTAAGTGATGAAGAACTAGATTTAAAAGACAGTTTTTGCTCTCTGGGGATTCCCAGTTACTGGGTGAGAAATGCAAGGATTACAGCATAGCTGATGTACATGCGTTTCTGGAAGCAAGCAAGATAAACGTGAATGTCATGTAAAAAGTGACGTGATGGAGAAAAACACAGTGCTGAGCACAGGGAAGGCTGTCCCTCCTACCTCCGTGGCCTCAGTGGAGGATGTGGGGACGTCTGGTGTCATCCCACTACCCCTTCTAGTGTCCCCCAACCCTAAAGGGCTACACATGAGAAACACACCCTTCCAAGAATAGGACCATGGGAAAGTACAGTGTAGAAGAAAAGAATTTTAAAGGGGTTACTCGGCACAACTATCTTCAAAGTTCAGGGAAACAGAACAGATACAACAGGATGACTATTACAGCAGCATCCCCTTAGTTCCACTTTCCTGCTGCTTTCCTCTTTCCTGGCATCCTGTCTCCCACCAAATTTTCATACCTACACGATGTAGGAAAATCCAGTCCAGGAGCTACTGATGTGGACATGCGTTAGGAGCCATCCCTCTCCCACCGCAGGGACTTAACGAGACAAAATAACCCACAGTGGATGTCCCAAAGCCTCAGTTCAGAGTACCACGCCACCACCGCGGGCTTTGTTAGGCTAAGCCTGGTGAACTCTGAGCGCTCCTACCCGGAAGGGAGGTGAAGAGAGCCTCTTCTTCCTGCAGTCTGTTGGTGGATAATGTGTCACTGTTGGCAAGTACACAAACCTGCCCTAAAGAAAATCGGTATTTTCAAAAACTGAAAAATCGAAACCCAATTTAAGGAATCGGCATATTTTCCTAAATGCTGTCTGATCGGCAGAACCCCGGCCCTCCTGGGCAGCTCACTGACACTATTTTATGAAGTGGCAGGTTCTGTTTTTTCAGCCTCCTGTCTCCTGGGGGCTTTTCTAATGCAGAGCACGTGGGATGCCTTCTGAGGCCCTTTCACACCAAGGGCTATCTTCCCCCATGGCCGCTCTTGAGCTCTTGTGTAGTACAGAGACCTTGGTCAGTGCCTTGACGTTATAACTTTATTTTCCTTAGGTCAAGCTAAATTCTTAGAACACCCTCCCCACTCTTCTCTGTAAGAGAAAGGCAAGAGGACGTACATGCCGGCCCAAAACACACCCGAGGAGTCGCGAGGACCCCTGGCAACCGACCTTTCTCTCAAAGACAGTCAGACGACACGTTGTGGGAGAAGGTGGCATCGTGGCACCAGCTCGAGATCTGGGGACCCACTCAGGCTGCGGGCGCGGGGCGGAGCAGCACCCGGGGAAGCCGCCGGGTTGGGAAGTAGCTACCAAGGGAGGGTGTGCTCATCCTTGAAGATCTGAGTCTACCTAGGCGGGGTCAACCACTTCCATTCCCCTGCACCGAACGTGGCTGCCCCAAACGCCGCCGAGCGTGAGCTCCGTTCTAAAGCCACAGCAGGCAGCGAGGCGGACAGGATCCCGGAGGCGGGAGGTCACTGGGGGCGCGGAGGGGTGTTTCGGGGCGCGAAGCAGTGGTGACCACTGCGGCGGCTCCCCACCAAGTGGGGCATGAGACAGGAGGAGCTGAGCTGGGCGCCTCCCTGCGAAACACCACCCACCCCTCAGGACAGCTTCATCTGGAGTGCCCCAAATAAGATGATGGAAAACCTGGGACACGGAAGGCTTCCACTGTGGGGTTCAGCCATCGCTGAGCCCTGGGGCCCCGCAGACAGCCCCGGCTCTTTTCTTTATCCCAAAGTCAGGCACCAGCCTCTGTCCCGGAACCGAGCCTCAGCTACCTGCAGGGCTAGAATGTATGATGCTGAGAACTGCGGGGCGCCGGGTCAGAACCACGTGGGGCCTGTAGTATGTATTTCAAAACTTCATGCTTCCCTGTAGCCTCAACACCAAAGACAGGCAGTGAGCATCCGACGCTTTCCCCCATCCCAGGTGGCCAGGTGCTCCTGGTGAGCTGGCCCTGCCACAGTTCCCCTTCCTGCCCTCCCGGATTGTGACCTAGTGACAGATTCTAACTACTCAGGTTCCTGAATCTTCTCCAAGGCCCATCTGCACACTTCCTTATAAAATCCAGTTTTAGCAAAGAGCCTTGCTAAGTCACTTGAGCGAAAACCACCCCCTAATATCTGATCATCCCCATTATTTGACAGATTCCCCATCCCTCACCATCCCCTAGGTGATGTCGGATCAGCCTGGCCTGCATTCAGCAAGAAGCCTATTAGATAAGATTAGTCAGAACCCACCTTGCCCCTCATGTTATCTCTTAGTAATTTTCCGTACAGTCATGCCCACCTTGCTTCTTGGCTATCCATTTCTACTTGCATTGGGAATTAAGCTCAATCTTTCTCCCTCCACCGCAAAATCCCATCATGGTGGTCTCCATACCTATCACCATGGTCCTCAATAAAGCCAGCCTTACTGTGTGCTGTGAATGGTGTCAATATTTTTTCTCTCCAAAAGTCATGTTGAGACTTAATCCCCAATGTGACAATACTACATTCATGGATGAATGGATTCATGGGTTGTCTCAGGAGTGGGACTGTGGCTCTACGTGAAGAAGAAACCCCTGAGCTGGCACACTCACCCTCTCGCCGTGAGGTGCTTTGTGCCACCTCGAGACTCTGCAGAGACTCCTTCACCAAGAAGGCCCCGCCAGGTGCGGCCCTTTGACCTCGGCCTTCTCCAACTCCAAAACCGTAAAAAAGAAATTCCCTTTCTTTATAAATGACCTAGTGCCGGGTATTATAAGGAACAGAAAACAAATTAAGATCCTTTGCTTTAACAATTGTCATTGAATAATTTTCCCGTAATATTAGTGACACTCAACACACCGCTGAAGCCCTGCCTGCTCTTTCCTTGTGTCCACCCTGACCCCCAGTGGCAACAGTGGCCCGCAGGGCCCCACTCCCTCTGCTCTCTGCCATGTGATGGAGCCCCTGGCTTTGCAGGGTGGCCCCTTCATGGTGCACAGTGACTGCCTCTCCAGGACCTAGAGGCACAGTCACCTGTTGTTCTGTGCCTCCCTCGTGTCTCCGTTGTGGCCGCAGCTGACTGGTCATGAAAGAGTAGAAAACAGGGTTTCTGTCCCCAGTACCACCTGTTGCGGGGGTGGGGGGTGGTGGGAGAAGAGAAGGTAGTCATGCTGAGTGAAGGAACTGCTTTGCTAATAACTGCGCATTTTCCCCACTTCTCCGCAGACCACACGTGCGGGCACTCCGAGGGGTCTGGTGCTGCGGCCATCGTGCCTGTCAGCCTGGCAGAGACAGTATGGTGCCCTGCAGAGCAGTGGTAGCAGTGAGGGAGTGGACTTGTTCATGAATGTATGACACCTACCAGGATGACTCTTGCTGAGATTTGGGAGGAGACTGGTTTGCAGGTGAGGAGCCAATGAAATGTGAGTTACTGTGCTACTGTTCACGTGACTGTGTTCATAGTTAGCGGGATCCACGTTACCTGGCACAGAGAGCAGCTGAAGAGGTCAGATCTTTCCTCAACAACATACAAAAGTATTTTTCCATAGCAAGTGCTATAACGTACCATCTCAGGTCTCAGTTTGCTGCTTCTGCCATTATCTATCTGCTTATTTTCTTACCTCTTCTCCATGCAAAGAAATAGCCTTCTTCTGATACAACCTGGACTTCATTTGGTGTCGCTTCTCCTTTTATAAAGAATG